TAGTATTTATTATGTCTCCTTTTGTTTAGATAATCTGGTGAAAAATAATTTTCTGAGAGGAAAAGATTCAAAACAGATAACTTTTTTTGGGATACGGGATAGTAGATAGGCCTACGTGGCTTAGGTTAATGAAACATAAGCTTAAAGTGTTGCATAATAATAAACTTTCATTGGCGTAATTTAGTTTGTTTTGAAATCATAGTGGTTAGACATGCAAATTAGGCATATGTTGTTGACATACAAACCGGCTGAAATGACACGTGTCGTTGGTAATAAAGAACCGGTTTGACCTGTCTTAGCCTAAAGTATATGTAGATTAATTCTAAAAGAATGAATTTTTCTTAGATATTGTATTTCCATTGCTTGCACTTTCGTAAACGATAAATTGAATGGCCTTTCTTAATAAGTATTACATGATTAGTAATAGATGAAAATGTATGAACGAGAATAGATATATTTAACCGGTTTCGATTGGGTCTTAGAAATACATTACTGACGAAGGTATAGTCGAAACCGGTTAAATACATCTCTTGTATTGTGAAGATACTCTCATTCTTGCCTTGCCTACGTGTTCAAGTAATACACGAGACTAAGCAAAGTTGCAGAAACGTCGGTGATTCACTCGCTAACTCTCCTTAACTGAACATGAACAGAACTCTGGGACCCACGGCGCTTGTTTGTCGTTAGTTTTTATAAAAAGCGATTTTCTAGGGGCATCCAGAAGCCCTGTAACCAACATCTGTTCAGATAACGTATATATTTTAAACATATTTTATTCATGTGTCATACATATCTGTATCTATCTATCTATGTAAGTATACATATATATATTTTTTTCTTTATTTTTTTTATTATTATTATATTTTTTTTTTACAGATCCTATAGTATTTGCCGACCGTGACCATTCTGCAACAAATCAATGACTCTAACCTCTGGTGACCTTTTAATGGCACTGACCCTTGCAGAAACGTTTTGTGACCTGATCTTTGGAGGCTATTTTGAGAACCTGAGTTTCCAAATCCGATTTTTCTGCTTGTTTTTATAACCACATGCTTTTGGTCTTTACTTTTTTGTTACAATGACCTCTTTTCAGACCTTTCTACGTTCTTGAAAATGTCGTTTTTATCACTAAAAGGTCTAAAATGAGGCCAGTATGACAATTATGATATCAAATTGATTTTATAAATGGTCAAAGATTCAATATCAATGGCTGACTTATGCCGAAAGAAAAAAAACAAAATATCTGTGTTAAGAAGGCAAGAAAAGAAGAAGAAAAAATATGGTAATGGAGATATTGCAAGAAGGAGAAGAAAAAAAAAGATATGGTGATGGAGAAATTGAAAATCAAATTGTAATATACGTATAAGCGATCTAACAGTACAGATGAGAGTAAATATTTTCTTTAAAGAAAATTAGCCTCTCACGACACATTTATGTTTTAGATCTGCCGAATATTTTATGGTAGGAAAGATCATGTTTTTTTTTTCTTTTCTGTCGAGGTCATAGGTCATACAGGTCGGCAGCAACAAGGCCTTCGATTATAATTGGAATAAAATGAGCTTGTTTGTCTGCAAATTAGTAACTGGTGTGATTAACTGCCATATAAGATCAGATCTAGATATTACATTAAAAAAGTATATTATAATAAATGCGGATATGGGAAACGTATGGTCAGTATTAGAATGATAGAGACGTAAATAAAATATAAGGAATATGCATAACACTAAATTAATTTGAAAATTAACCATGATTATACTATTTTCTCTATATGATTGTATTAGTAGTATTAGTAGTATTAGTATTATATGTATTAAGTGGTAGTAGTAGTAGTAGTAGCAGTAGCACATTGTCCTTACTGCTATTGACTACTGTTGCCATAACGTAGCATCAAATGTCATAAAAGTGCTTACGATTCAACAGTGCTTAAAAGCTTCAACGGTGTAATTACCTATCCCTCCTATTCCTTATTTTTTCTTCGTTCCCATTGGTTTTTGGCGGTTCCTTATCACACATAAAAGCCCGGTTTAATAAAATTGAATATTTATATGTAGGGGCTGCATATACACATAAATAAATACATATCTCTGTTTTGACATGTATATTTAACGGACAGATAAATAGATAAATTCATATCTATCTGGTTAGACATGCATATCTAACGGACAAATAGATAGATAAATGCATATCTATTAGGTAGATTGACAGATGTGCATCTATTTCTGTGCATATGCATGTTCGTATATTTAAATATGCCTTACACTAATTTAACAAACCGTCAATTTCCATTTGAAACATCCCGTGTATGCATGTGTTATTGTATATGTATGGATGTGTGTGGTAATACTATATATGATAATCTGTACATAGACCTATATTCTTGTCTGTGTGTTGTACCCAGTATAAGAAATGCCAAGGTGAATTATCTAGAATCATCTATAAAACAAATGGTAAGATATCTCTCTTAACAGCTTACTATCATCATGGTGATTATCATTAACAT